TCTAACTTATTAATATTATTGTTGAGCTTTTAGATCCTTCGAGATTAACTATTCCGTAATATACTTGTTCTAAAGTTTGTTCAAGTGTGTCTCAAAGTTTTTCTCTCAACACACTTTGAAACAATTTGAACTTTTCAAATGCGTCATGCTTATGTTTAATGAAATAAACATAACTAAAACGAATGAAGTCGTCAGTGAAGGTGATGTAATATATTTCAGCATATCTTGACATTATTTTGAAAGGACCACATACATCAGTATGTATGATGCCTAATAAAACACGTGCCCGAATCAGAGAAAGGGATTTTATCATCTTACCACACAATCAAGATTTACATATATCAAATGACTCAGTGTCAATCTCCTCCAAACACTCTTTTGGAGTTGGGATATGCGTTTCTTGTTTATGTGACCAAGGCGACAATGTCATAGATATGTTTGGTTTAAATCGTGTTTGAGTTTTTTGGTGTTAACATGATAAATATATTTATTGTTTGAAGATTCATCAAGGTTTAATTCATAAATTCCATTTATTGGTCTAGCCTCAAAATAGAATATTTCATTCAAGAAGGAATGAATATTATCATCAGCAAATTGAAAATTAAAACCATATTTTCTTAAACGCAAAACTAAAATGAAATTTCTAGTAATAGAAGTTATCAAACACACATTATTTATTGATAAATACTTACTAAATGGTAAACATCAATCAAAATCTCCTATAGTTTGGACTGTAACCCGTGCTCCATTGCTAACAAGTAGTACTGTCTCTTTTGCTTTCAACTCCCTACTCTTTCTACACCCTTACAATGAATTACATTTGTGAGTTCCACAACCAGTATCAAATACCCAAGTGTTAGATGAAAAAGTAAATAATTCCATTTAAATCATGAAAATATATATACCTAAAGTGCCTTCCCTAGTCTTCTTGTCTTTCAACCCAAAAAGATATTTAGGACAATTCCTTTTCTAGTACCCAACGGCTCCACACTCAAAGGAGATCTCATCCTTAGCAACTTTCCCCTTTGTCTTTGGCGATGAACTTGCAGAGCTTTCTTCCCTTTTCCTTTGCCAACTTGTAGCTAGCCCTTAAACTTCATGCCTTGTTTCTTCCTCTTGACTTGTCCTTCATGAATCATGAGCACTTGGGGGTTTTCCTTGGGATGCTTTTCTCAACAGTTTTCAGCATCGAGTGCAACTCAGAGATATACTTTTCCCACCCATTCATATTGTAGTTCATGATGAAAGTATCATAAGACTTTGGCAATGAGTTCAAAATTAAATCTATTGGGGATATGTAGAGCCCAATCTCTCCAGATGATCCAGATGGCTTTTCATCTTGAGAACATGTGTGTTCACATTTCCAGTCTCCTCCATTTTGCAGCCATGTAGAAATCTAACAGTTTCAAATCTCTTAGTTCTGGCTTGTTGACCAAACATCTGTTCGAGATGTTATATCATGTCTGAAGCAGTAAAAAGTTCCAAATATAGTTGAAGATTTGGAATCATGGTGGCAAGCATTAAGCATAAAACATCAAGAGAGTCATCCACATGCTTGAGCCATGCATCATGAGAAACATTTGGAGTAAACCAGGAACTTGACTTTCAAGAATAATCTTTCTCTTCTGGTTTCAAAACGATTCTTAAATTCTTGTTCCAAACCAAGATGTTGGAATGACCCAATTGTTCTTTGTCGAGTACAAATCGAATGTTCATTGGGTGATGGTGTGTTATAGTCGTAGGTGGGGTCATCTACAAAATTTTAACAAACCATGTTCATTGCAAGTATATTGTAATTCAAAGTAGATTTGTTATTATTTTAAGATTCTTGTTATTATGGTATGTATGTTTATACTTAAAGTAGATTGCCTATATGTTAAGTAGGTTGTTTTTAGCCCAACCATCATCTTATTATTGTAGGTATATTGAAATTTGGAAAATGTTATTCTTATTATTTATAGTTTGAATAGGCCAGGTATTTATTTTATAGTCGTTATGTTGTCAAATTTTAATAAAACAAATGTCAATGTATATTTGTTGTTTGTTTATTGCAAGTTTAGATTGAGAACGAGAATAGGCAAATGATGAGCATTCCATTAATGAAGTGTCGATCGATGAGATGGAATGCCTTAAATATGCCCTTCGAGAAAGGCATGGTTATACAAAGGGTATTGGTAGGAAACACAAACATGTATCACCTTATTACAAGTTGAGTAGTTTAATAAATAATGAAAACATAAATATGATGGCTCTGCAGTTTACTCAAATACCGAGTCAACAATTTACTCAACAAATGCAGCAAATGATTATATATCAAAATCGAAACTACCAACCTATATCAATCGTTTAATTCTATTTTAATCTGCCACATTTAAAAATTCCAAATAATCGGTTCGATGAAGAAGATGATGAAATGATGATCTACATTGTTCTAGCCAAGATGATTAAATTTGGTAGTATATGAAACTTTAAACAATTTCCTCATATATTTTCTCATATATTTTAAATGTTTCATAACTACTTATATTATATTTATCTTATAATTCAATTGAATTCTTATGATATTTTAATTTTTCTATTATTAAATTTACTGTTTTAGAATGTGTGTAAATGAAAAAACTCAAAAAATAAACAAAAATTTGGATGTGAAATACATTATGTACAATGACTATAGCGACAACATGTCGTTGGTTGACCTATAACGACGACATGTCGTCGTTATAGGATGACCTATGAAGATTAAATGATGTTGATACATACTTTTTATTTATAATTTCTTAAAAAGATATAGAAACTAAACTATTATGATCATATGTGGTCACTAAAAGGGCAGTAATTGCGACGACAAAATGGGTCTATAGCCATGAAGCTGGGCAAAAAAGGCTACGGCGGAGCAGGGCAGATCCACAATAGATCCCATGATACCTCTCAAAAAAAATTAGTACTGTAATTTTTTTTTTAAAAAAAATTGGTTTTATGTAGTTTATATATATACATAATATTAATATGTTTAGCGAGATAATAACACAAACTGAAGTTGGTTCAGATGGTTAAGGCATTAGGGGGGTGTTTTGGAGGTTGTAAGTTCAAATTTTCTTTCAATTTTAACAAATATTATATATTATATTTTTTCATTACAAAAATATTACAAATTATATTATCACAAATAAAATGTTTATAGATAATAAAATTAAATTAATTATTACTTTATTATAAATAATTAGTAAATAAATAAGATTATATTTATGATATATATCAAGATCAGGATCATATTTGATTATTATATTTTATAAATTATGTTACTGTACTTCAAGTTTTTAGTATATATTTAATTTTTTTATATGAATTCGATAAATAAATATTAAACTCTATATTTACGATTAATTAATATAAATTAGTATATAACATGATATTACAAATATTAAATATTGTATTTAAATTATAATTTTTAGACAAAAATAAACTAAATATGTATAAAGTAAAAATGAGAGAGACTAAAATTGACAACCAAAACTTCAACACCATTTTTTGAGATATGAATAGTATAACCCTAAATATGGGGTAAGATGAAAATGGGGTATGGTTGGAGAAAAATTGGGGAAGAAATAGAGCAAAAAATAGAGTTTGGGGGTGGGTTGGAGATGCCCTAAATTGTCTAAATGGTAAAGGGCTGAACTTTTAACTTTTAGGTCTCTATTTCGAATATTGGCCCCTACACGGGTATACTTTATTTTGTTTATCATTTTTACAACTTGTTTCTTAAAATTCTAAATTTGCCCCACATCGGTCATAACATGAAACATAGCTCTCATACATTTCTTATATAAGCAACACAACTTTTCCATTTTCAACAAGTTAAACTTTCGAATAGGTTTGATCTTAAACCCGAAACCGAGTTTGGAAAACCGAAAAACCGAATTCATCGGTTTAGGATACCGCTTTACTTTGATCCTGGCTCCGCCACTGCGACAGAGACATGTCGTTGCACGCACCTATAGAAACGACATTTGCACTTGGAGTGACTGACATGTGTCGTTGGCAAAATACCACTTATTCATTCTTTTCTATTAAAAAAAAAAAATTGTGAATTTATCGATACTTCAATAGTAAACCCAAATTATAGAAATTTTCCAATTAAATTCCTTTGCAAAAAATTATTCCTATACATGATTGCCACATCTCATAACAACCATAGTTTTATAACACAACTTATTCCGAGACTATATGCATGTAGAATTAAGCTTATTGTGGACAATATGTTCGTATGTCAATTACCTATCATATTGTTTTGTATGCGATATAGTTGTTTTGTATATGATTTATACTTTTAGGATGTGGCAATGAGCCATTCAAAGGGTTGCTAGAAATATCCATCTAAATTTATTTGAATGTATACGTACATACAAATACATGTAGATATATATATATATATATATATATATATATATATATATATATATATAT